AAATCTTTATAAATTTATAATCAATCTAAATAAATTGATAAATCTAAATAAATTGATTTTTTACTTATTTAAAATAATATTTATAATTCGTTTTCACGTGATGATTTTTGATGATATCATATTATGTCATATTATAAACATCGTTTTTAGGATCTACGGATTCAGCAGCTGATGTAACCGTTATGATCAAAGGTTGCAAACCAGGATCTATTGGTTTTGTAGCACCTAACGTTCGAATAAAAGTAACGGATGTAGAAACTGGGAAAACTTTGGGAACTAATCAAAATGGAGAACTACGTTTGAAACTGCCTTGCATAATGAATGGTTATTATAAGAGACCTGAAGAGACTAAACGAGCTTTCGATTCTGACGGTACGTAATAAAGAGTAGATGGGCGAAACCGTATCAGTTCCTATATATCTGAACCTAGTCAAGAGTCATCTAGATCTAAAGAGTTCTTCTGTGACTCCCGTTAAGTCAGTACGGATTGCGAAATTATCCTTATATACGGAATGCAGAGTTTGAACTTGCGACCTGTCGGTTACAAATCCCTCGCTCTCACATGGAGCCACATAACATTCTGACGACATTCTGTGTAACTAATCGGAATGTCACAAAATTGAGGAAACCATTTAAGAATTTTGACTCTAATATAATTATAACAGTATATTGTAATGGAGAGCTATAAATGAAATATAGAAATAAATATTATTGTATATATAAATATTATAAATATTATAAATATTATTAATAACAATATAATAATAACTACACTTATATAAGGAACACATCAAGTTAAGAAAAAATGACTTCATTTTAATGTCATGAAATTCAAAAAAATGACTTTTTGTTACAAAATTTAACTGTTTATTAACATTAAGAATCAAAATAAGATGATTTTAATTTTTTTATCTTGTGTGTTTTTAAGTAGATACACCAAAATTTTTTATATAATTACAAAATATGAAATGTATGAATAAAATGCAAATATTAAAATTTGAAAATATTTATGAATATAAAAATGAATATAAAAATGTTGAAGACAGCAGATTTGCAAATAAAAGAAATAATAATAATGCACAATTAAAATGACTTCGTGAAAACACTTTTTTAAATAAAAAAGTGACTTTTTTAGATAAAAATATAAATTATTAAATCTTAAACATTTCAGGTTGGTTACTTAGTGGCGACATAGGATATTACGATGATGACGGAAATGTTTTTCTCATCGATAGAATATCTGAATTTATTCTCTTCCATGGTATTAATATTTCTACTGCAGAAATCGAGAACGTTTTGAAGACACATCCTGCAGTATCTCAAGTAGCGGTAATAGGAATACCACATGAAATTGCGGGTCAACATCCAAAAGCTGTCGTTTCTCGAATGCCGCATAAAACGGTAAAAATTGTAAAACGGTCATATCCATTCCAGGCAATGAACATGAAAAGAACGACTATCGCATTCAAAATTCATATTCGTATAATTTCATTGTAATCGTAAAAAAATGTTTCAATTATAGGTAACGGAAGAGGAACTCCATGATTTGGTAGCGAAGAACCTACCGGAATATTGTAAGCTTCGCGGTGGAGTTAAGTTTCTCGATAAACTTCCACGTACAGCTACAGGCAAAATCGCGAAGAAACAACTGCGAGATATGTTTGGAAATTAAAATACTACTACATACGTACAAATTACACACAATAATAAATTGTTACATCATTAATTAAAAAAAATATTCAAATTGCTTAGTAATAACAATATTGACTAGAAAGATAAAAATTTTCATAGCGAGATATGTTAAATAAACAAAAATGTAGAAGTTTTTCTTATATGTTGTATAAACATATACTATCGAAAAATCTTCACAGATATTTAAAAAATGTATTCTGCTAGATGCAATAAACAATGGAAGATTTTATCCATGGACAATTACTTTTGACTTATACACTACTAACATATTTCCTTTTTACAAAGTGCCTCGTTTATATACAAATTTAATATAATACTCAATATTTGAATACATTATTATTTCATTGATACAACGAAAATTATGGCCGAAAAGTTTGTAACCGTCAATTATTGTTAATAATACACACTACATACTACCATCCAGTGTTGGCTTACATTGGTTTGCATTTTTTCTTCATTTCGATTTATTTCTTTGAAGCTTTTTTATTAAAAATATGTATTATTAAATAATTTTGGCAAAAAAAATATCTACCAGATTTTCCAATACATAGAGAATTTTTCCTGTAAATAAATCTCAATGAAAAAAATTTATAAAAATGTTTATTTAAGATCAGTAAAAACAGATAATAAAATACGTGATTCTCCTCTCTATATTTCAAATATTGCACTCCAAAGCGCTTGGAATATACTCTTTCCAAATATTATTTCCTTCAAAAAAGATATCCCCTCTCCATGAGTTTAATAATAATCTTTCAACAAGAAATGCGTATATAAGTAATATATCTTTGTTTCTTGCATGATAAAATTCAGATAACAAATCCATTTGTGTTCTTTTTTTTTACCCGTGAAATTCATAGAAGTCTAATCTAAAACCTACTGTTTATATTGTTTCATGTATTGGAAAGATAAAAATTAAGACAAGAATTGGAGCTCAATCAATTTTCTAACAGTGACAATTCAGCTGTCGTGGAAAGCTGTCATACAACCAGTGATTATATAATCATCATTGTATAATTTATAAAAATGTGTGAACGGAACATAGCAACTGATAAAAATGAGGTAATAATTTATATTTTCGTCTTGTATTTAAAAAAATCTTCTTAAAAAGTTAATTTAATTATGCATAATCAATTTTTCTTTAAATTATTATTTCTTTTTATTGTCTTCAATATTCATATATTCTCAACATATACTCTCTAAATCTGAATCAGTGGATCTCTGATATCAGTGTCAAGTATGCCTTGGCCATATCGTCCTCCTATTATTTTCTTTGGAGGCGAGAGTTAATAAGTAAAGAAGAAGAGAAGTGCCATTAATCAGTGAATGATATGTGAGATCCTTAACTTAGCTAATCTTTATGTGACTAACTTTGTTTTATTGTATAAATTTAATGAATATGGTATTGGAAGATTAAAATTAACGTGCAAAAATCAGTACTTAATTCATCAAATCAGTACTTAATCATTAAATATAGTTATATAATGCTCAGACATTTTTCCTTTTTTAATTAAACTTCACTTATTGTCCAAGTATGCCACTGGATAATTAGTGACTATTCACTGATTCAGATTTAGAGAGTATTTATATTCACAGACATATTTTCAAATTTTAATGTTTACATTTTATTGTATATCATACATGTTATATATTGTAATTAATATATAAAAACCACAATGCATCAAATTATCTAAGTGGGTTATTATTATACTATTAAATATTAATATTTATTTATATCATTATTTTTAATAATTCACTAACGAAATTTTATCATAAAGGTAGAAGAACTAAAATTCAAGATCAGAATCAAAGATAACATCTTATTAGGTCCAGAATATCCAATACATAGAGAATCAGTCAATGTAGCTGAAATGATTCTACAGACCCTAAAAAGCAAACCTGATTGTATCGGCCAGGTATAACAAACAGTATTCACTGTTGTGTATAATTTCATATTTCTCAATTGCATTAATTTCTCGTTGTAAATGATTAATATGTGAATCTACAGATAGACGCTATTACGGATAAACGAATCACTTATGCCGAAATGAGTGAACGCAGTATTAAATGTGCACTTTGGTTGAAAAAGCAGGGTGTGAAATCAGGCGATATAATTAGCGTTTGCACCGATAATAATCTAGACGCGATTATAGTGTTGTTAGGTATCATGTATTTAAATGGCAAATGCAACACATGGGATCATAAATTCTCCTTAAGTATGTAATCTATTAATGCTACTTCTATTACCACCAAATGCTAAAAAAATCAAATATACTATATAAAAATATGTATTATTAACTGTATTTGTTTATTCAGACGATAGTTCTTTGTATTAAGCGTTTTTTTTTTGTATTCTTTGGTAATTTGTTTTTAAGATAGTCAATAAATATAATCGTAAGATAAACCAATCACAAAGTTCAAAATTATAAGTATAAAAATAATGATTCTTGAAATAAGAAAAAAAATTAGTTAAAAACGTAATATAGTACGTAAACATAGTACTAGTTTAAAACTTATATTTAGAAATTTATATTTTAGACAATTATCGGTTATAAAAGCATAAAATTTATAAAAAATAAATAAGAAAAACAGATATAGTAAAACTTTTAATATTATTCAATCATTTATATTTTAGTGTCGGCACGAAACTTTCTCTCAATGATGTCACCAACAATAATTTTTACGATTCCGTTATCGGCCGCGAATTTAACAGAAGCAGCAAAGGAGTTGAAAATGAATGTAAAAATAGTGGTTTTTGGCAAGCTAGATGGATATGAATCAATAGACGATATTTTGAAGGGTCACGATAAATGCGAAATTTTCGAATTCAAATGTACTCCGATCAGTAATCCAGACGAAGTTGGTATTATTGTTCTTACTTCAGGAACTACGGGTATGCCAAAATGTACTGAACTCTCGCATTCTTCTCTACACAATTGTTTACTTCCTGCAAATATTGCCGAAACGAAAGATCACGTTTGCATATTTACACCGACAATACGTTGGCAATACGGCATTATGCTTGCATTTAAGATCATTTTAGCATATTCAACCAGAATTGTTGTACCAGACTATTTTGTAGACGATAATATATACAAGTTCATCGAGAAATATCGAGTAAGAAGAATTCCTAAACAAATTTCTGCCTAATTTAATATCTAATTTTAGAAATGGAAATAGAATGAAAGAAATGATTTTAATATTTGACTGTAACTTTTAGGTAACGTGGTTTGCTACTGATCCATTCATTCTAATCGAAATGGTTAAAACGAATATTTTAGAGAAATATCGATTGACAACATTAAAGGTTATTGTTACTGCTGGTTCTACTTTTTCAAGACACAATCAAGAAACATTGATTAAAAAATTACCAAATGCTTTAATTAAGAACTCTTATGGTAAGTTACTAAATTTAATTTACAAAATTACGAAACAATTCTTTTTCCCCTCGAATCAGTTAATTTTTTAATTAGTTACATTAAAGTCTATGGTTTTCTAAAAGTGAGTCTATTACGGATATAACATTTACGTTTTTTAATTAATTATGACATTAATTAATTAAATGTTAGAAATTAATTATTTATATTTAAAACTAATAAGTAAATAACAAGTTAAATGTACTTGTCTCTATTTAATCTCCTTGTTAATATTATGGATGTATTAATGTTTCGTGTCAGGATCTACCGATGCAGGAGGTTCACTTTCCATCCAAAACAAGCACAGTAAATTGGGATCTGTTGGTTTTCCTTTACCTAATGTTCAAATAAAGGTGACGGATACACAAACCGAAGAGGTTTTGGGGATTAATAAAGTTGGAGAATTACGCATTAAAGTTCCTTTTGTAATGAACGGTTACTACAAGAATCCCGAAGCTACGAAAAAAGCTTTCGATTCTGATGGTATGGCTTGAATGCTCGATCAAAACTTTCAATTAGCAATACTAACATTTAGATAATTAAGAACTGCAATAAAAGAATAATAAGAATAATAAGAAAAAAACAGGATCCTCAATATAAAAATAATAAATCTCTTGAGATGTGACTTCAAGGCAAATAGGAATCTACGAATAAAATAACGTGTTATAATAATAAAAATACAAAAAGCAAATGTTAGAATATAAACTGTTAATATACCAAAATCTAATCGCATTACATATTTCGGCTACAAGTGCGAGCCCTCCTCAAATATACAGAAACAACACAATAGAAATACACTATAAGAAATATACAATGTGTAAAATGAAGCACAATCGCAAAAAATCATAATATCATATCGGTGAAATCCGTGATGGGTGAAATACTTGAATCAGAGGAAACAAAAATTGCTCGCCAATTGATTGGAAGACCGATTGAAAAAACATGCTGCTGGAAAGAGAAAGGGAAAAAAAAATTCAATGAAGGATAAAAATTCTTCACTCTCTCCCTCTCCTCTCCCTCACTCTCTCTTTTATCATAATAATAGAATATAACTAAGAAACATAATTAAGAAATTATATGCAAAGCAAACAATATCAACTCCCTCTAGTCAAAGACTCACTACTAATCTAAGTGTCGATGATAAATATCCATGTAAATATCGTCAGCAACAGTTAAAGAATGTCCATAAGTTACAAAATAAATTAAAAACTCTCCATACATGATATCAAAAAGAAAGAAAACGGTTACACTGATATGGAGACAAATCATACATCTAAGCGCTATGACGGACCAAACGATATTATGTATGACTTTTTGCGGTTGCGCTCCGTTTTACACATTGTATTTCTTATAGTGTATTTCTATTGTGTTCTATACATCTGAGAAGGGCTCGAACTTGCAGTCGAAATATGTAATGCGATTACGATTAGATTTTGGTATATTAACAGTTAATTATATTCTAATATTTGCTTTTCTATTTTTATTGTTATAACACCAAAAGAATAATAAATGATCAAAATGCACAATATTTCAGGTTGGTTACTCTCTGGCGATTTAGGATTTTATGATGATGACGGAGAACTCTTCATCACTAGCAGAATATCGGATTTCATTCTTTTCAGAGCAATCAATGTCTTGCCCACTGAAATTGAAGCTGTTTTACAGACTCATCCTGCGGTATTCCAAGTGGTGGTAATAGGAATACCTCATGAACTCGATGAGCAGCATCCAATGGCTATTGTCTCAATCATACCAGGTAAAACGGTAGGTACCGCTCATTTCCAATTATATTAAATATAAGACCAATAAAATAATAATTGCTTTTGAGATTTACACGAAATTTACGCAGCATATATTGTGTTTATGTATCAAATGTTTCGTTTAGGTAACAGAGCAAGAGCTAATCAATTTAGTGGAAACGAATCTGCCGGATCACTGCAGAATTCGGGGAGGTGTCAAATTCGTAGATGAAATACCGCGTACAGCTACCGGCAAAATCGCGAAGAGACAGTTGCAAAGTATGTTCGTAAATTAAATTACAATATACGTATTAAAAGTTCTGGAATGGCTAATTATCTCAAAAAACTTATTTTATTCGGTTTATTGGAAAAGTATTTCATACAAAAGTTGTAGAACAACAAATGCATCAAACGGCAATACTTATTTGATCTTGAACGCAAGTATGGAGAAATTCTCAAAGTCAACTTTAAAATTTTTAATGGAAACTCTTACTTTTTCTTCAATATTCTTGTAGCTGACGATTAATAAGATCTTTTCAAAACACTATATATAATAAACACTAAATAATAAAATCCCTTAAATAATTATTATCAGCATTATTTTAAAGATTTATTAATATAGATAATATATATAGATATAATCTAATTCATCATTATTTTTTAACTTTAAAACTACGATTTAGAATTCTAAAAACTATAAGATATTATTGTTTAAAATTGTCTGCGTGTGTAGATATTTAACATATCATTTTATTCAAATAATAAATTATTTCTAAATTTTGTTTAACTGTTTTAGGCATTAGCATAAATTTTGTTTAACTGTTTGTCGCAATTTCATTTTATATTTTTAAAGAAACAATTCAAGATATCAACAATGTACTTGATATATTCAATATCTAACAAGTTTATAATTATATTTAGCAACAAACCAAGATTATATTATAATACATAATTATACACTTATCAAGTTGTTATATTATTGCTGATGTTTATCATTAATATTCAAAAATTTCCGTTGTTTATTTGCCAGATAACGTAAAATTGGGATACTTAAATGTTATAGATTATCTTATGATATCATTATCTATTTCTTGATTATTTCTTGATTATGATTGAAGCAGAATAAACACATTTAATAATTTCAGAATATTAAATAAATTAATAAAAATTTTTTTCAATAAAATCTACAATTTTTATGAACAAAGAAATACTTATTATTTTACGTCTAGTTAGCCCCTGAGATCAATAATGATCATTATATATCTCGTAAAGGGATATAATGCACTTGTCGTTTAAACAAGTTTTCTTTTCCTTTTGTCTGTCCTATAAATCTCCCTCTCTGTCTTATTTTTCTTTCGACCTCTTCTCATTTCGTTTATTCGTTCCTTCCATTCTCCTTCACAGCATAACTCGACGGATTATCCATATTATTCAATGGGATTAACGCTATGATATATTTTCATGATATTATGCTTTTTATCACATCTTTTGTTTTATTTATTCGGACAAAGTTACGATATTCGGCAATTTTAATATATCAAGAATATCACTTATATATATTTCTAGAGGGGATATCTTACATCACATCGCGAGCATTGTTATTAAAGTCAAGTTATAATCAATGAACAGCCGATTTATAATATCAATAATGTCAAATGATCTAACGTATTGTATATTGTTTATTATAGCTAAAAACATTTCTTTTCTCCAATTATCTCGAGAATCTAAATGGGGCATTTTATAAGCGAATATAAAAATGCATCAGAACAACAATACTTTCTCGGTTAGACGTCGTGCATGTTTTTGCATTTCTCTAAAGGAAAGAGTTACTTCCCGCTAATGCCAGCTCTCGATGGCATGCATATTTATTATTCGAAATCCGAGAAATGGAGATTCACCGTCTTTCAAATTTCAGCGTTTCTCTCGTCCGATACCTATACACGATGTATCTCTTTTCATCTAATTTTTAACAATAGATTCAATAGTGAACCTTTCAGAATGCAACAATTTTTTATGAAAACATTAACTTGAGTTGCAATGAGTTTTGACGATGGACCGGATATAACTCGCTTGAACAAAGCTAGCGCGATGGATTTTTAATCCAAATGTTTCTTTTATAAATACGCGTATTCATGGAAGGCAATATCTTTCATATCTTTTGATGAGAGAGAAGAAGAACTCGTTCTTGAAGAATTGTATTATCGCTCGTTTAATATAGTTTTTATCTGGCACACGCACTACGGATATCAAGACAGGTCCTTGGGTCTGTGTGTTGAATTATCTTTTTCGATTAAATTCTTTTATGACGTTCTTATGCGGACGGGCGCACGTTGTAAGAACTGTGAGCTGAAGGCGCGAAGGTTTTACAGAACATAACGGAGACGTAATGGAAACAGCTGGCAGAAGCTTACAGCGATTTCCATAAAATCGAGCCATTAAGATCTTGTACAGCTGCAAGCCCGCGGAGAATAGTCGGGACGAGGAATCAATATTTCAAGAAATAGAAAATGTAAGATAATAACGCGTCAGTATCTCGATTTAATTTTGCGCGTTCAATATGTTTTTTTATCTATGAAAAATTTATTGTTCCAATTGTGAATTAATCAAAATTTCAATATACCAATAAAAATTGAATTGTAAAAAAGTCATGTAAAAAAGTCACGTATCGTTTTACTTTTCTTTTACTTTACAAAAAAAAAAAAAAAAAAAAAAAAAAAAA